ACAGGGCGAAATCCGACAAACCTCTTGACAGAGGCTTATTCTGTGACCAGGGTCCTGACGAAAATTTGCGGCGCAAAAGCTTAACAATTTGGCATAGCTTTTACACCTATTTTTTCCCGTCACAATCAGCATGGCTTCTGTGTGTCGGTTGAATCGGTCTGTTGGCAATCCAAATTTTCCCTTTAAAGCTTTGATGAAAGTTCGAGAAAATTCTTTGGCCGAAATTTGTCCTTAATCGCTTCTTGTCGGAATCTTTCATGTTTCTTCAACCTATCGTCAGACATCATGTCTCGTAGCTTCCAGCATTTGTTAACTTTTTATCCAAAATTTCAATAATAAAAATTGCGTCGATATTTGAAGTGAAATCCATGAATACTAGTTCTTTCATCAGTCAGATGCAATTCGCAAATGAATCTCGATTCATAATCCTCTAGATGGACGAATATCCAGTATTTGCTTTTGTGTACGACGCATTGGAATCACATAGAAAAGCTGTGATGCGAAAATAATCTGAAAATTGACGTTAATTTGCGTAACTGCGGCTTTTGAGAGTCATACTAATATTCGGGTTGCTCACTCGATAAAGCACTGAACTCGGAGCCAAGAAGTCCCAGATTTGACTCCGGTCCGGTAACTCGCCTTTCTTTCTTCCGAGGGCGATAAATGAGTACCACTCTGTCGGAAGGAAAGAGGAAACTACACGCCATGATTGCCACATTGCTGCAGACACTGCGAGCCGGAGATCAACGTCGACCCATAAACTTAATGAAAAGAGGGATGTCAAATAGTGGTTCTTAATCATCAGTGTGCAACGGAGAAGGGAGTTCAATATGCCAACGACCACTAACTTTCCTTTCCATTTTCCTTACTCTCAGGACTGGCAGCAAATTCAAGGTCACGTTGAATTAGTGGTCAGAAACCGCTTTCATCCTTCTTATCATGACTGTCTAAACTGAACAAAGTTTACTGATGTCCTTGAGATGGATCATGTGCTTCACGTGAAAGGGTGGTACTCGTTTTGGTTTCCACAAAAGTTCCCTAGTCAGCTAGGATACATCGTAGAAGTTTCTGCTTATCTTCCAGTCACAATGCTCCAAGAATGCAGCCTGAAGTTCATCTTCATCTTTGGAACTTACTCTAGCAAGAAGCGGGGGAGACACTGAAAACAAACGCTAAATCATTAACAAGGCCATTTGCACTTTCTGTAAATAGTTTAATGTAATTTGTGTTATCTCTCCCCCCCCCCTTCTTCGAAATTTTTATCCTTGACATTCTATGTCCATATTGAAAAGTATTATATCAGGAATGCTAACCTATGGATGTGAAACCGGACCCTAGTTATGAAATATGCTCATGAGCATCAGACAACAAAATGCGACATAGAAAGCTGTATGTTGAGAATAATGCGAAAATACACTAAGCAGAATGAGTGGGTAGACGCATTAGCAAGAGTCTACGATGCAGTTGCACGAGTGACGAACACTAATAGATAATTTGCAGAAAAAGTTGTAAAACAAACCGACCATCTCTGGAAAGAGAGACATTACACAGGGTCCCAACAACTCTAGGTAGCTGGCAGGACCAGATGAAGCTAGGAGGTTCGTTGGATCCAGATCGATAAGAATCACAAAAAAAAAACAGGAGTTTACGGAAAAGTCTTGAAAAGGCATTCATCGCAGGGGTGAACTGAAAAAAGCCAGATGATATCATGGTGTTTCGTCCAATTTAAATTATTATATTATCCTGTCCACAATGGTTGTGTAAACTACCGTTATCGCTTTTGGTATTGAGGAAGTGCTCCAACTGTTGCACCACCGTTGCCTTTTTTCAAGATCGTTGAATTTTTCCATACAAACGAAAGTTACAATTATAGTAGCCATAAGACGAAATTACACGGGAAAGTGTACTAATAAATTTTTCAGTAAGGCGTTATCAAAAAAAAATCTCAGGAGCTTTCGAAGAAGGGGTATTTGGTCAGTGCTTTGTTGGCCACACTGAATATAGTACACATTACAGGTGACAGGAGCAGTACCAATGTTTCGATCTGTGTTACACGGGCCTTCTTCAAAGTAAAGAGGCGAGTGAGCTTTGGGAAGTCAGTCGCATCGACTGCAGGAGATCATAAGTTCGCAATCAGAGTCCTGATGGCGTAGGGACTGCTTCTTTTAGGAGACCCCATTGCAATTTTTCGAGCTTAGTTTCATCGTTTAGGTATTCTTACACATCCACTACGATCAGACAATTCCTTAATGTTGAAGAAGGCAGTGGAGGAGGGGGGGGGGCATTAGTTCGAACCACTTCATTGCGGCGATCGGGAATAATGGAATAAAATTAGCATCAGTTGGACATGATTAAAAAAATATATTTATGCCAATACTTAAAGCCGAAAAAATTACAAAAAAGGCTCATCATCAGCATATAATGCAATATGTAAAATTATACAGTTCTATAAGTGAGAAAGAAGTATAAACATGAAAGAAACAAATACGAAACGCACATCGAGAAATTAGTACAGAAGTTCCTTGAAGTTATAAAAACTGTATGCAAGAAAAATTGAACGATAACTTCTCTTCGTCTTACAGTACCGCAGAACGGACTTAAAGTCATTAAATATTTTTGCATGCTTTTGGCTTAATAAACATTACGTCGTTAAAGCATTCATTTGACTGCGGCCAACGCTTCAATACCACCAAGTCGGGACCTGCATTAATGCCCCCCCCCGCCCTAGGCGACTAGAAGCAAGGTGGCGGTGCATTATTGCGTAACGTAACTTCCATCCGTGCTTCACTCTCAGTGAATCAGTTTAAAGTCAGAAATGTTTAGTGTCAGACTGATTGGATAGGGTACATTTTCGCACTGAAAGGGGGCTAGTGACACAGAACAACGAGAAATACAGAAAATTTATTAGGGCACTTCAACGAACTCTAGCAATGAAAAGATTTCTGCATTCATAGATATTTTATAGAGATGAGTTCTTACGTATAGAGGCATTTGTGTGGATATTGAAAATATGAACACGGCTACATAAATACTAGAACAAGAGGTTACACTTGATCAGCTACATTAAAAGCAGGAATGTTCTGCCTGATGCTTCTAGTGAGTGTTCACCGAAGGTTCTAGAATTTAGTATTGGACAGTCCTGAGAATATCACTGATCCATAAGTAATCAGAGACAGAAAGCAAGTTGAGGAACTCTATCCGGCCATCGTATGGAAATCTGCTTTGACAAACTGCTTCAGGATGAAGGTCGCACTATAGAAATGATTTACAGCACATTAGATGACCACTTTAAATCGTCTCTCAATCTTGCTGTTAAATACTTTACCACTTAGAAGCCATTGCTTCTCACATGAATTGTGGCCTTGGATATATCAGTAAATAGTTGATTTCGTGTATCACTTATGATGAAGATACGTCCCTTCAGTTTCGATCAATAGCCTTCGAGGACGGTGTTTCGATTTTCATTGGATATTCATCCAGTTCAGGACTGATTTTAAGGACGAACTTAAAAACGTAGTGTCATCAGCATGTTTCATGCAGTTGAACTGACCACTGATACGGTACGAGTTTGTATAAAAGTAGAAAAGAACGAGTGACAGGAAAGAGACCTTCAATTTCCCAACATTGTTCGGTTTGGTGGCTGAAGTGGTGGAGTCGCAGATTTCTGCAAGCCCTGTTCTACGCAAAACGATCAGATATCAGACATCATTAATCTGGGTACTCTGTTCTTGACCCTGATACCCTAGATGACGATGACAACAACAACAGTTATGCAAAATGTATTCAATAAAAGAGCCAGCAAATGAGTTGGGTGGTTAACTAAAGCTGTTTCACGGTTGAGATAGCATCAAAAGCTGATTCACGTCACGTAGAAACAAATTCTGCTCCGGTTCCTTTGTCCAGAGAGTAAGGTCACGTTCAGAAAGAATGACCGCTGTTGCTCATTCAGTAGAGCTTTAGACTGAGTGCCGAGAGGTTGAGTTTCCGGGATCGAACCCCAGTCACATCACTCACTTGTCTTTTTCCGAGGTTGATAAATAAGTACCGCCCTGTGGGATGGATGGAAGGGACCATACATTACGCCTGCCATATGGAGTCTGTTGTGGAGTCTGTTTCTAAAAGATAAGGCACTCCAGGATTACGGCATGGAAATGGAGATCAGAGCCCCCCTCCATTAATTTCATGCACCAGAAACATTTTCTTCGTGAAAGCGCAAGGAAGACAGGCATTCCAACGGTTACAAACTTTCCTTTTTCTAACGTTTTTAACAGTAATAGTGATGGTGTTTAGTGTGCATTTGGCCTCTACGGTAATAATGTTGAGAACTGTTGAACTGGAGGATTTGATCCTGACAAACGCGGTAATAAATGCATATGTTCCATCGGCTTATGACTGTCCCCACTTGCGTCGACTGATCAACATTGATGAATTAGCCGTTGAATTTAGACATAGAAATGATCCACCTGACAATCAGCTAATCAGAAATGTGACTTTGCCACAGAGACTGACTGTGGATGTGACGAAAAGGTGTACTTAGCTCCAGCAGAGGTATTTTGCGTACCACAGCTGATAGTTTGCCATTACCAGTAGAGATTTTACCCCTGAGACAGGATAAACGATCAGAAGCCAGTAAAGTAAGAAGCTCAGTCTTGTCTGCATTTCGACCGTAATAACGTCCCATGTTCAAAGAGATCATTCGCCTTCTCTGGTCTGCAAGTTACATGACACGAGAGAAAAAAGGAAAACAACAGACGAGAAAGTAAACCAAGGTCTCACCTGGCTGAGGATCGTCGACGAAAATCCGAACACCTCTTCTGACTTTCAGCTCCACGTTGCGAACTCGGATGCGCTAAAACGTCAAAAGGTCAGAAGCCAGTTTCGACACAAGCAGCGAGTCGAAACAACTCAAAGTTCGCAGCCATTCACAACAACCGATGCCGTCAAAATGCACGTCAGAACCAGATAATGCAAACTGTTAGGAGGTAGGAGGTGTTGGGTGAATGCTCGCCCTCCGCCCGGCGATCGATCAAGTCGGCAAACGTCGAAATGAAACGCAGGGAAACACGGTAACAACGCCACACGCCGATCATGGTGAGGCGATGAGTGGTGAGGATGAGGATCGAACGCCAGCACCGCCCGCCTGCGCCGGCACAACGGCCAACAACAGGTGAAAACGAGGCCGCCACCGACTAGCCTAGCAACCGGTTCTGTAGCAACCTGTTGTCATGTCCCCTCACTGGCACGAGAAGCGAGGCAGGCGCCGAGTTTCGAACCTGGTTGATCACTTATTGATCTTGATGGTCGTTGCTACTGCTGACGCCGTGTCACATACACTCGCTTTCTCTCACACTGGCGACGTGAACGGGGACCGTTCGTATTCACTGCATGCAGCTGATCAAACGATGTGCTAACTCAATCGGACGAATATCGCTTACGTTCATATAAGCGCCTAATGTAACCTGACACATGTCAATCATCGACTTCTGGCCAATGACCTGTCGGCCTGTTCGATCATCAGTCAGTGGCTTCTTTGACCCCAATCGCTATTGGGTTGACTGAGAGGATGAACATTTAGTGCCTGAATGGATTCGCCGAAGAATTCCGTGTTTGGTCAAAGTAAAACAAGAAAAACACAGCATGAAGGAAATGTACCTATCACAAAACAAAACCGCGTTTAAAAAACTTAAAGATAACAAAAAATGGGAGTGAAGAAATGAACCGCCAGTGAAACCAGTGTAGAACCACACCACGAAACAAAGTTCATAAATCGATACAGCCTAGAACAAGGCTATGCCACACTGAGCAAGTTGAATTATTGTTGTTTAGCGCCAGACGGTCTTCGTACAACGCGTGTCTGGAGGGGGAGGGGGATTATAGACCTTCGACACAGTTCCGCTCCGGCAAAGCCACTCTCATATTTAAATCAAGTTGACGAAGGAAGAGGGTACTTTGTATTCCATTTTCCGACACTGCCACATGATCAAACCATTTCTGAGGTTTAAAACTCGCGAATGAAGGTTCATATGTCAAGAGGTACAGCCGTCCACCTCAGCAGATCTTGCAGGTTCAGCCATACTGCTAAGTTCTGAGAAACTCATCCAGCCAAGTCGAAGAGGCAATCGAATGGACAGCGTATTGAGTATGACCGAATCATCCGTTAAGAAATCGCAACTAACGTGATCTTGCGTTGAATAAAATTCTTTTCTCGAAAATGCGGAAACTTATCTACGCTTCCAAATCGATGAATGAATCAGCTAGTGAATCCAAATAATCAATTGGAGCATTTAATGTAGTTATGAGAAGAACAGTATCAGCTTTGTGCATGTTAAAGAAGAAACAATAATCAATTTTTCGAAAAAGTATGACTTGCTTTCAACAGATTACGATGATGGGCGGTGCTGACAGCAGAGAAAAATTATTAAAGACTAGGATTCAACATCTCTCATCACAACCACAAGTTTTCACCCCTGTTCAAAGAATGGACGTAGCGGTGTGCTATTCTTTGCCACACCGATTCAGTTATTATGGGATATTCGTCGCGCGAATGACGCCTACTTTGGTTCGGTGTTCGATTTCCTCCGCCAAGCATCAACGTCATCCCGTTCATCTCGATTCTGGGTAAAGACGGAGGATAGTATCTTCTACTCTGCAATACCGTAGGACAGCCGTTGTTCCTTCTCATGATGAGTCTTACTGCTTAACGCACCTGATGTACCATTTCTAAAGGTCAGACGTCATACATCTGGATTGTTCTGTCGCTTAAGCTCTGCTATACTGTGATGACAAAAAGAAAATAACGACAACTCTCCAATGGAGAACGTCTTCTAAAAACCAACCTTGAGTGCAGTACTGCTCTAGGACTACACTCATTTGTTCTTAGATCTGACAACACATTCATGACGGTCCTTTTTAACAATTAATTTAATAAATTTTAACGGATTTTGTTTTGCCTCGAGGATACACCATCTTCCGCAATCCTAACCTGCAATGCACCAGACTGTACATTTGACAAGGCTCACCTTCGTGGGTTTGCGATGCTGCCACTTCCTCATGCCCTGATCAGGTTTGCTATGCAAGCTCTTGTGATTCATAAAAAGAATGAAAAAAGAAAGATATAAACTACGTCCTTCTTGCACTGCATCTTTCTTGCACTTCAATGATGGTGGCATTTGTGGAGCATATGGTTCAGCGCTGAGCTCTGCTTCTTAACAGCGTGCCATATTTTAAACTGAAGACTCACAGCTACACGAAAGGACTAGCTTGTAGCTTCACATTGCTTAGTCCACAAAATAGTAGTCTTTTATCTGTTTTGCATGGATGAAAGGTGAGTGGTCAGATTGAGGATAGGACCAATCATTTTTCGTTAACGAGTTCGACACTCTACCGACTGAACAGTACACGTCTGCTAAACAACCACTGACTCTTTTGTTCATAAGTATAGACGAATCCCTGGAATGCAAACACCATATTTGTTTGAATGGAACCAAGAAAAGTCGTCTGCTGTGCATCAATATTATCCACGGAACTTCGAGGCAGGGTGTGATTTCATGCCGCCATCATCAATTTCGTTTTTGTCTTGTTCAAATTAAGAGCAAAGCAGATGTTTCAGATATTGACATGTTCTACCACCAGTCACACATTTTGCAATATTACGAGGTTTAGATTCCATATGTTGAAATTTTTCCAACTCATTAGGATGATACAACTAAGGCTAGCAATGGAACGACGAATATAAGATCGAAATGCTAAAGAAAGATTTATTTCTAGAAAATTTTAATGTATATTTGACGTTCCCACAGCTGACGCTTGACGAAAAAGTAGATGGAGCTTCTCTACTATTCTGATTCCTCGATACATTTCCTTAGCTTTACTGCAATTCCGCTAACAACTCCGCCATTTTGGGTCCTCAAACCGGGGGTGACAACGGAGGAGTATCGAGGACCATGGCCAGGTCGAAAACTTAATCACTTGCCCTTCATGGCATAACCGTCATCGAACATTACATCGGTTCTACCGTCGCCCAGGTTGCCAAGGACCGCCGATGTTGGAGGACTC